AAAAAAGCCCATGTAATAATTATCCATCGATAGACGACACTGACTTGTCTACGACTTGCCAGTCGTCGGCAGTCAGTCAGTCAGTCAGTCAGTCAATCAATCGGTCAGTCAGTCAGTGAGTCAATCGGTCGGTCAGTCAATCAGTCAGTCAGTCAGTCAGTCAGTCAGTCAGTCAATCGGTTAGTCAGTCATCGCGTTTGTAAGAAAACAAACAACAAACAAACCATTGGGAAAATCGTATCTTTCTGCCAATGAGTTATATATTTCTGCTTAACCTACCCCTCCTTCTGTCTGTCTGTCTGTCTTATGAAAAAAAAAACACGCCACTGTAAGCTTGTTCCCTGATTTTATTGAAAAGCTATGGCTTGCATGCAAAACGAAGCACATTGGTCTTCTACCTTGTATACAATACACGTTCTCTGTTTCTATCGAGGACCCTGTGCACAAGGCTGAAGTCGACACTGCTAAATTGCTTAACTATCCATGAAATTAACTCTCACCTGGCCCAGGAATAGTCATACCACATCACCACTCGTCTTTGCAAGTCCTTCGGTACATTATGCTTCTTCATATACTGTTTTGTGTTTTCCTGCCGGGGTGACAGAGGTTATTAACGACCTGATGTGAAATAAGCGTTACTCTGTACTCTTTCGTCAGAAAATAGTCGATAGAATTACTCACCCTTTGTTTCTCGAAGTCCATTCTCACCGCATTTCTGTTCACAATAATGCTTCCTGCGTTACCTAAAGAAAATACATAAAACCATTACGAGGAAACCTTTTCGTGGCCTGCATGAACATACCGTGCGTGATTATTGTCGATTACGTCACGGGTTTTGCATCACGCTAGCTGGCAAACTGAGAACGTAGTTCAGTACATCAGGAGCACACCCATTGAATTAGTGAAGCTTACCTACGATAGTGGCAAACATGAAAACACCAGTCAAGTAACAAGCGATGGTGTAAACATATCTGAAAAAAGGTAAAGTATTTAAAATTATCGAAAGAGCAGGCAAAAAAACTACTATCAAATGCCCTAGCAGTTTATAAAGCAGGTAGTTTCTCCTAAATTCGTTTGAACAAAGTGACAAGGCGTGTCTTGATTTGATCTCTCCATAGTGGGTTAGAGATCTCGCGTGTTGTGAAATCAAAACTGATTATAATAGCCATTTCAAGCCAGTCGCAACAAACACGAACAGGCAGTAATGCAGCAATCACAGCAATGTAACATCATTTCCGGAATGTTATGCACAGCAAGTGAAAAGGACCGAGACAATGTTAAAGTTGTTGATAACCTGATCATCTCTCCGTTTCTCGAGGTGAAGCCTTTTGCCTGTCAAATCTTTAGGTCTTAAATAAAGATCAATCTCTGCTCTGACATTAGAAACTCAGGTTCTCCTTAAATTGCTTACATCTTTCCTCTGTTGTCGTAATTTCGACAAAACTTTTTTTTACGTATATCGTCCGTTTCGTTTTCTCTAGCTATGTCTTTTTTCAACGCCATATCGCTTGCTGGAACTATCCTAACAGCGCCTTACCAAAAGGAATTTTTGCTTTGCTGTTTAGTTCACAAAGCTGTGAACCTGTGGACACTGCTTATGTAGGGAAGCAAGCGCAAATACAAGCAAATCACATGCATTCTCGTTTCGCCATTTTGCGTTCGTAAAGGTCACCAAATATGCAACTGCGTTCTTTAGCGTATAAAGTTTAAAGGTACATATTTTCAACTGTAAACCAAGTTTCGGAAGAATTCAATTTACTCTTTGCGAATCGTAAGAAATCAATAGTACAATGTTAATTGTTTTGAAAAGAAATCCTTTGTAATCCATACTCGAACAAAGGCCAGTGTATTTATAAGCGATGGTGTGAATTTGATAAGCAGTTTAACAAAAATTGTGAAAGTCCACTAGTTTCCATGAGGCAAAGAAAAGTGACGAAACACAACAGATATACAAGGTATAAATCATAGGCTTGAGTGTGGGAGAGATTCAACTTGAAATGGCGCGAATCGGCTGTCCACATCATTTGTTAGCTTGGACTAAATCCAGCCGTCAAGCGTTCATTTTCAGCTATTTACTTTCGAGCCAGCTTTCGGACAGCTTACTGGCATGTCGATTATCGTGTATACGCGATCAGGGTTTGCAATTGAACTCGTAAGATTAAACCGGAGCTTAGGTTAATCAGTAAAACAACAGACAATGTTAATTTGTCTGTCGATAAAGACAGATAAGACGCGTGTAAGATTACGAGAGTGGTGCAAAAAAATTGTGTTTAGTATGTAAAAGTCCTTGAAAACACTAATGTTCGTTATCTTTTCTTAATCGACCCGGCGTAATCTGCAAGACAAGACATAATGCTATTCAAAGGACTTGTGAAGCTGCCAAAATAGATCCCTCCCGCTCTGGCCAACACTTTGAACATGATAAAAACTGTTTAAGCTAAACAGCTTAACATGGTTTGAAATAGTTTTTGATGTTTAGTGACCTTAACATTTCACTAATGAGATGATTTCCAGGGCATGCACCCCGGTGTAAATAAAAG